TCTCCTTGATTTCTAATGTCACCGCATTGAACGTGTTCCTTTCTTTAGGGGACATATGTTGTGTCTCAGAGTTTAGTATACTTTCTGCATTTCATTTTGTACAAAATACCTGTAGAAGTAATATCTGATTGCTCCTTTCTTTAGCTTCATTAATCCAAGATGTTTTTCCACATCTACATATATAGCCATTTTTATTTTCCATTTACCTTCTTCTATGTAAGTTACCTTTCTGATCCTATTTGGAATGCTTTTGACTTGAGGTAGCAGAAACCTGGATACAAATGGCATAAGCATAAGAACTATTTTTTCCCTCACGTCTGCATCTCTATGATGAAAAGATCACACACACACACACACACACACACACACACACACACACACACACCACCCCTTACCTGCTAGTCTATTCTAAGGTCCAAACTAGTAATCTGAGAATTTAATAAACTTTTCTTTTCCACGTCTCACAATTGATTGATCACCCGGTTCTGATATCACTTTATGTCTGCCACCTCTTCCATAGCCTCTGAGCTACTCTAGTAATTTAAACTAAAGTAATGTATTGCACTAGCCCTTTGAGCTAATCCACTACTTCACATTTATCTTCAAGTATATTTTTCACAGATTGTCCAGTATTATATTTTCCTGTCCTTATTAAACAGGTTTCCATCCCTTTTAAAATCCATAATCTTTCATCACCATGAGGACAAATCACAAGTTCCCTGCCATATCTTACAAAGCCCTTCTTGATCTTTCCACTCATCAGCTGACTAGCCTTGTCTCCCTCACCTTTCAGGTGAAACCAGGCCATTGGCTGGCCCCAAGGCACAAGTTCAAACTGACACAAGACAAACTAATAATATGTGTTGACTGCATCGTGGATGAGAGAATGACTTCTCTCCTCTTTGCGCCAGAATGCATTATGACAGCCCAGTTCAAATCCAAAGGGGCAAGGGCGTGTCTTTTTCACAGATCATTTGTCACTCTCTAGCAATATGAACAATTGTTTAGCTGTAGTTAATATTGGCTCAATGCAGCTTTTAAATCAATGGGATAACTCATCATGTGATAGTCCAAATAAGTCCATTTGTCTTTCTACACTAATGATTTGTTTTTCTTATTAACATTCAGATCACTCATAAGGAATTACTGATCCTATTGCCTATTTGAATCCAGGAACAACAGCCCGGTATCAATGATGCCAACACGGAAATAGATCTTCTGAGTACATATATGCAGAGTTTACAAGGATAGCATTTGATTCAACAAGGACACTTGTTCTATTCTCTTGGGATATGCGATGCTGCTTATTGACCCTGCCTACCTAAAATCTAATGGTATTTTTTAGAAGCAAACAGTATCCTTCAGTTTTTCCTAAGGGAGAAATTGATGGGAAACAAGTGATAATGGGTTCCTAGCAAATCCAAAGTCAAGTACAACATTTTATATTAGCTCTCAAGGCTTGAAAAGAATCCTTGTTCTCTGAGCCCATCCAGGTAGCACTGTCCTCCAGAGTTTGGATGCTAACTATGTTCTTTGGATTCTGGGTAGAGACCTGCCTCCCAGTGCCAGGATTCAGCTTTGCCTTGCAGGACTAATGGGATGACAACCTGCCCCTTTGGCTTTGCCTGATCCCATTTTTCTACTCCATCTGAGTGATGACGCCTCTCCATCACCCAGATAACGTTCTTCTATTCCTTGGGTATAATAGCCGCACTCCTTTGCCTTATGGTAACCTCATATTCCTGGCACACTTTATTGATAACCCCACCCTCGGAGCCTGACTCTTTGAAGCAGAGAATGTATTGGCACTACTTGTTGGCACGCTACGGGCTTTGATATCTCAGGCACCATGATCTCACCCTTTGAGGTACCAGAAGCTGTGGTCCTGTCCTTTGAGAATGAGTTAGCTCTATGTCCAGTGTTCCTTTGAGCAATTCTTCTGATCTCCCGGCTTCTGCAGGTTTTTTCTTTCTTTTTTTTCTTGGAAGGCAGCAAGGCAGCTCCTATGACTTGTTGCCTTCCTCTGAATGTCAAGAGAAGACAGTGTTCTTTCCATTTGTTTTTTCCCATTTCCTTCCTTCTACATTGATGAAGTCAATGCTAATATTTGCTTTTAGTTGTCATAGGCTTAGTCTTTTAGCAAAAGATTCCATAGCCAGGTCCTTGGTGAAAACAGCATGTGTTCTGACTAAGCTTCTTCAACTCTGTGTCCCAATCCCAAAGGGGACTTAAGTGGGAGCTGCAAAAAATTTGACAACAGTAAACGATTTCTAACTTCTTAAGACCAAAATTACTTCAAAAGAAAATATTTAATGAATCTGAGGTGTTTCATAACACTTGCCTATGTTGAAAGGAGTAATGAGTGGGAAATGTATAATAAATAATTATAAAATGGAGCTTTCCAAATGCTTGTATTTTGTTCTCATTTCAAATAGTGCATTTTTCATTTCATTTCTTTCCTCTCACATTTTTCTATAAGTTCCCAAAAGAAACCACAGGACCCCTTTATGACTTTGCTTAGAAACCTCCTCAGCAAGACATCAAAATTCATAATTAACAAGTTCTGTCTTTCACCAAACATTTAAACATTAATTCATTCAAGTTCATTGACACTACCTAAAAGAAGCTTAGCTCTTTCCCCATTTTCTAATTACATGATCATCATTTTCTTCTAAAGCTTCACTAGAAAGTCTGCATTTCTAGCAGCATTCTGTTGATGGTGTCAGACTGTCTATATAGTTCTTTTCACTTGTGAGCCTTCACCAGAATTGGTGACATCCATTCTTCTACCCACAGTCTCTTCAAGGCAATCTAGGTATTGAATACCAGGCATCGCCCATCTCAACTCTGCTCAGTTCCCAAACCACTTCCAAATATTTGGATCTAGTAGAGAAGATCCCATTCCTGGTACCAAATTCCATCATGGATGGCTTAAAAAATTTTATTTTCTCACAGTTCAGGAATCGAAAAGTCCTAATCCAGGTTGCCAGCTCTAAGGAAAAGCCTTCGTTCCCTGTTGGCTATGGGGGAAAGTTCTTTTTCTTTCTGCTCCCAGCCCACTGCCATGTGACTGTATTGCTGTAGCTAGGTGGCATCCAGTAGGTTCCAACACATAGGGAAACTTTGCACAAGGGAATGCAACACTGCCAGGAACTGTGCCACCCTCATAATTGTTCCCATTGCTGCGTGAAACTTAGCATCTCTCTCGCCCATCTCATTCATCTCTGAGTACCCTGGTTACTCAAAAGAGATCGAGTCAAGATACCACTCACATGAAACCAACAATTCCCAAAGGGTTTTATAATCATAGGTATAGAGATTACATTTTAGCAAACAATTTGGGGGATGGGAGGAGATACAATTCAAGTCATAACACCTGTGATTTGGAAAGTTGTATAAATAGTCATTTTAAAAAGTCTTTTTCGAGTTCCAGGCCATTATGCAAAGGAGAAAGAAGAAAAGTATCAGTAGGCATGATACTGCTGCTGCAGTCAGGTGTGCTTGAGCCAGTTCCCGCTCATACAGACCAGGCATAGAACACAACAAGACACGGCTGCCCTCGCAATGTTCATGTCGGAGTCCACTGCTGTTGCTACTGTATAAATCCATCTCACCAAGGAGCTCCCTGTAGTTGTTTTGTTGTTGTTGTTGACCATCAAGATGATGTGCTTCTCCAGGGATAGAATCACCCTGATTACTTGTCCAGATTACATGAAAACCTGTCTGGTCTTCCTTGCTTCCAAAACAGCGGTTCTCAACCTGTCGGTTGCAACCCCTTTGGGGGGTCGAACAACCCTTTCACAGGGGTGGCTCGATTCATAACAGTAGCAAAATTACAGTTATGAAGTAGCAATAAAAATAATGTTATGGTTGGGGGACGTCACTACAACAGGAGGAACTTTATGAAATGGTCACAGCATTAGGAAGGTTGAGAACCACTGTTCTAAAACATTCTGGCTCCACTTTTTCTAAGACACTGTTTATAATTTTTCTTTAAGCCCAAGGCATATGTAACATTCTTCATAAATACCATAATTCAAAGGCACCAATTCTTCTGACTTACTAATTTATTGTCCAGATTTTGAAGGAATATGAAGCGACTGGAAGACCATGGTTTAGGTCAGGTACACCTTAGTCTTCAAAGGGACATTGTTGCTTTTCAACAGTTCAGAGCTATCTCATGTAGCAGAATTGGTTAATGCAATTATGTTTTAATTATTGCTCCACGGGCATTGATTATGGACCCAAGTATAATAAAACCCTTCCTTGACCACTTTAAGCTCGTCTCCATTTGACATGCCGCCTATGGGTCCGTTAGTTGGCATTTGCCTTTTCTTCATGTCAAGGCGGGGCCCACAGGGAAGACTGTGTGGGGGTTTTGATCTTTCTTTCCTAATCACATTCACATGCAGGTTGTTTCCTCTGCTTAGTATAGATGGCTAATGAGTCTTGCTGCAATCCTGAATCTACATTCCTCTCCAGAGAGTTCAGCTGTCTGATCATTTACTCAGCATACAGATTGAATAAGTGTGGGGAAAGAATACAATCCTGATGCACGCCTTTCCCAATTTTAAATCACACAATGTCTCCTTGCTCTGTCCAACCACTGCCTCTTGGTCCTTGAACAGGAATTGTAATAGAAAAATAATTGAGCAGCTTAGCTAGGTGTTAGATTACCTTTCAAATGTCTCTTACATGGAGAACTCTATAAGGTAATTGTCTTGATACCAGGGAGAGAGTGAGTGAAATGACAGAATTTATGAAGAGTGATATATTTTCTCTTTAATTTGTACAAAGCAATCATTAACTACAATAAGTATCAACAAAAGAATAAAAGGCAAATGTTAAGACAGAATTCTAGATACTGGAGAGTGGAGATACTGGGTTTAGAAGGATTGGGTTGTACCTTCGTTTTTCCTCTAATTTACTTAGAATTCACACGACATTTCATTACATCTTAAGTTTTTTGTTTTCTGTTTTTTTTCCTTTTTCATCTCAAGAACGACCAACATTTCTCAGAAGGCCAATTAACCAGGTGGTGTTGGAGGAAGAAGTTGTAGAATTTCGATGTCAAGTCCAGGGAGATCCTCAACCAACCGTAAGGTGGAGAAAGGATGATGCAGACTTGCCCCGAGGCAGGTAAGGACATCTTTTGGACAGATGATTCTGAGACAACCATTGCATCCTTGGGCAAAACAAGTACACACAACACAATATTCAAAGTCTCTTATAGCTTGGTTTATTACTGATTATGTGATCATTACTTATGTAAAACACATGCCTGCTTTCTTGTATATGCTAAAAATCTCTAAGCTGTTGATGCTAGTCATTCTTTGAATAGCCACATGCATGCCAGATCTTTGATGGCATCTTTTATTCTCAAATACCATCACTTCCCGAGTTGAGTTCTGTCTTCTGGCCCTTGCTAAATTTGATATTATGTTTTTGCTAACCATTACTAACCATTCACAACCGAGTGTCTCCATAAATTACTGCTCTGTTTATTTGTTGCTCCAGACCCCGCAGTGGAGAATCTCTGCCTTTGCTTAGTCAGCAGCGGTTCTCAACCTGTGGGTCCCGACCCCTTTGGGGGTCAAATGGCCCTATCACAGGGGACGCCTAAGACAATGGTTTTCAACCTTCCTACTTGTTCGACGGTTTAATACAGTTCCTCTTGTAGTGACCCCCAACCATAAAATTATTTTCGTTACTAATTCATAACTGTAATTTTGCTACCATTGTGAATAGTCATAATGTAAATATATGATGTGCTGGATGTATTTTTAGTCTTGCAAATTGAACATAATTGAAGCATAGTGATTCATCACAAAAACAATATGTAATTATGTATTGTGAAATATTTATTTCTATTTACAAATAAATGAAATTTTGTCTTGAAGCATGGTGCAGCATGGGTAACAGTCTTCATGCCAGGTACTCATATGTGGGTGTATCTGCATGGGGGCAGACCTGCCTGAAGATGGATAGAAGAGTGGTGTCTTGGATCCTAAGACCATCAGAAATATGTGTTTACCCGTGGTCTTAGGCAACGCCTGTGAAAGGGTCATTTGACCCCCAAGGGGTCATGACCCACATGTTGAAAAGCACTGTTCTAAGACTATCGGAGGGTTAGTCCGATGGTTTGTAGCCATGGTGTTGCAGTGGTTACATATTGGTCTGTAATTGGCATGGTCCACAGTTCCCAATCAGCCCCATGGGAGAAAAATAGGGCTTTCTACTTCCATAAACAGTTACCCATAGTGGGGGTCACTATGAGTAGACTAGACGACAGTGAGTTTGGTTCTAGTTTATAATTGACCTTAAGGTCTGATGCAAAAAAAAAAGTGATATTTAGCTGAAGACTGGAAAGACGGCAAGTACTCTGGGTTTTGTGTTATCTTATCAATTGTCACATTATTATAAACCTCTAAACCCAATATCTCAAATCAACAAGGATATTGCAAAAATCCTTGTCACTTGAAAAATGAAATTTATCTATCTTGTGGCTTTCCGTATGAGGTCTTACTTTTATAACCAAGTATATTATTAAAGACGTTTTTCCCGCCATTAAATGTGCAATTCTATACTTCAAATTTTATGATAGAGAACATTATAAATCATCCTCGGGGGCACAAGATAATTCATAAGGTATTGATATTGTTGTTGTTAAGTACCAACAAGTTGGTTCTAATCACAGTGATCTAGGTACAAAAGAACAAAGCACTGTGGAGGCTTGTAAAATTCCCTTAAGTGTTCTTAATGTTTGAGGCCATTGTTGAAGACACGGTTTCAGTCTAGCTCACTGAGCTCTTTCTTCTTTTTCATTGCCTCTCCACTTTACTAAGCATGATGACCTTCTTCAGGGACTGTTCTCTCGTGATATGGCCCCAGTTTATGAGATAAAGTCTCTATTTTATTGATAGTATTATTAATTTAGCCAATGGTATAGAATTTGAAATATTGTTGAGAAAAGGAAATTATACAAGTTTAGACCTGCTAGAATCTCTTGGTCTGAGGGTGCTCAAGTCAACCAGAACCAAAATAGGCCCTGGTGGGTATCCACTTGAACTGAAGAACATCTCCAGTACAAATTTGATGCATTGAACACTAATTACAGAAGACCTGATGAGCTGTAGGAAGACATCAAAAACACCATTCACAAAGACAGCAAAAGATCATTGAAAAGACAGGAAAGAAAGAAAAGATCCAAGTGTATATCTGCATTTGCTTTTAATCAGAGAATAGAAAAGGTCAATGGAAGAAATGATGTGCAGACAAAAGAGCTAAACAGAACATTTCAAAGGCAGCTTGAGAAGACAGTAATGAAATGTGTGTGGCTCAAGAGTTTGAACACCAAAAAGGAAGAACCTGCATGGCATATCTCAAACTGAAAGAGTCAGGAGCATTTCAAGCTTCAAGTTGCAATGTTAAAAGCTTCTACGGGCAAAATGTTGAATGATGCATGAGTCATCAAAAGGAAATGCAAAGAATACACAGCCATTGTACCAAAAAGAACCAGTTCACATTCCACCATTGTTGAAGGTAGCGTATGAGCAAGAACCAATGGTACTGAAAGAAGTTCAAGCTGCACTGAAAGATGAGCCAAAAGAAAGGTTCCAAGAATGGGGAGAATACCATTTGAAATCTTTCAACAGGCTGATGGAGCACTGGGTGTATTGATTTCTCTATCTCTGGACATTTGAATGACATCTACATGGCCAATTGACTAGAAAAGGTACATATTTGTATCCATTTGAAACAATGGTGATCCAGCAAAATGCCCAAATTATATATCAATATTATTGATATCTGATGCAAGTAAAATTTTACTGCAGATCCCCCAACACTGTTTGCAACAGTATGTTGACAAGGAGCTGCCAGTGATTCAGGCTGGATTCATAGGAGGATTGGAACAAGGGATATCACTGCTGATTTCAGATGTCTCTTGGCTCAAAGCAGGAAATACTAGAACGATGTTTAGTTGTGTTTTATTCATTATGCCAAAGCATTCAACTCTGTGAATCATAAAAAAAAAATCTATGAATAGCCTTGAGAAGAATGAGAATTTACAAACTATTCATTGTGTTCACATGGAACATGTACATGGATCAAGAGGCAGTTGTGAGAACAGGGTAAGAGAATACTGCATGGTTTAAAATCCGGAGAGGAGTCACATAACCATACACCCCTCTACAGGGGGAAGATCAACAGAAAACATGGGAGAAGGGAGACAGTGGTCAGTGTGAGAGATGAAAATAATAGCAATGTGCAATCTATTGGGGGGTATGGGAGTGGGGGGTGGGGGGAGAGCTGATACCAAGGGTCCAATAGAAAGTAAATGTCTAGAAAAGAATGAGGGCAAACATGCCTGATTCAATTGATGTATGGATTGTGATAAGAGTTGTATGAGGCCCCAATAAAATGATTTTTTTTTTAAATTAGGAGAGGAGTACATCAATGTTGTATCCTTTTGCCATACTTGTTCTATCTGTATGTTGAGAAAATAATCAGAGAAGTTGGATTATATTGTTGAGAAAATAATCAGAAAAATTGGATTATATGTAGAAGAATGCAGGTTTAGAGAAAGGCTTATTAACAACCTGCAATATAGAGATAATAAGACCTTGATTGCTGAAAGTGAGGAGGATTTGAAGCATTTTGCTGATGAAGATCAAGAACTGTAGTCTTCAGTGGATTACAACTCAATATAAAGCAGACTACAGTCTTCAAAACTGGATCACAATATGGTAACATCATGATAAATGGAGAAAAGTTTGAAGTTGTCAAGGATTCATCTTTCTTGAATTCATAATCAATGTTCATGGAAGCAGCAGTCAAGAGATCAAAAGGCATATTGCATTAGGTAAATCTGCATAAGGTATAAGACTTCTTAAGGGTATTGAAAAGCCAGGATGGTACTTTGGGAATGAAGGGGACCCTAACCTTAGCCATGGTTACTTCATTTGCCTCCTCCATATGTGAGAGTTGGACATTTAGTAAGGAAGACAAAAGAAAAATAAATCTGTTGGAATTGTGGTGCTGGTGAAGGATGTTGAAAGTACCATGGACTGTTTAAAGAGCAAACAAATCTGTCTTGGAAGAAGTAAAACCGGGATGCTCCTCAGAGGTAAGCATGGCGAGACTTTATCTCACTTACTTTGACATGTTGCTATTGCCGGGAGGGACCAGTCCCTAGAGAAGGACATCATGCTTGGGAAAGTAGAGGAGCAGTGAATGAGAAGAAGACTTTCAGTGAGAGATGGGTTGACACCGTTGGATGTAACCACGGACTCAAGCGTAGGAACAATCATGAGGATGGCGCAGAACTGGGTGGTGTTTTGTGACGTTGTGCATAGGGTCACATTGTGCATAGGGTTCATAACTGACTTGATGGCACATAACAGCAGTAATGACTGGTGGCTTGGGATTACTATTTCCTTGCTATTTTAAGTCCTTCTTGCTTTCTCATGACCTGTATCAATATTATTGGCGTAGTTCTTTCTTTTGGAATCAGTGTTATTTGAAATTTTTTTCCTATCATCAACCCCAGATGTTTCTGTAAAAAGAAGTCCAGTCACTTAAATTTAATCTGTACAAGGCAACAATCTGTGTATTGTAGCCATTCTATTATTACTTTTTTAATGTGGTACCTTTGGATTTAAAGGAAAATGGCAAAAATAAATAGAGCTCTCTTGTATACCCACATGAATCCTTCTTTATTGTTACCATCTCTCTTTACTATGATATATTTATTACATCTCATAAAAAACATGTTGATTCATAATGTTTTCTGAATGTGAGGAGGACTTCAAATACTTGCTGATGAAAATTAAGGACTTCAGTGTACTCGACCAATAGGTAACATAATGATAAGCTGATAAATTGAGAAGAGATTGAAGTTGTCAAGGAATTCATCTTGTTTGGATCTACGATCATTGCTCATGGAACTGCAAACAAGATATTCAACAAGGCAATCCATTTGTTAATCTTCTGTATGAGACCTCTTTAAAGTATGGGAAATCCAGGATGTTACTTTGAGGACTAAGGTGCACCTGGCCCAAGCCATGGTATTTCCAATCACCTCGTATGCATGTGGACATTAAATAAGGAAGACCTACGAAGAATCAGTGCATTTGAAC